TGATGGGCTAAAATAGAAATACTAAAAAATAACAGGGAAGTTATTAATAAATAGCAATTATGGTCCCCAGATCACATGTAACATTAACATTCATTCTGACACCAATCATCAGAAAGAGTACAGAGAGAAAGTTAAAGGGTTCTCTAGAAAAACGTGTTGATCTAGAAGACAAATTGTACGACTCTAGAGAGAAATCAAGCAATATGAATTCAGGTATGCTTTCGCTTATAAATTTATTAATTTGTAATGATCTAACATGAATGTTCTTGACTTTTGGGTGATGATTTTCACCAAATTATTGATCTCTCATAGTTTCAAGTCCATGCTGATTGATACCAACAAGTAAGAGCGATCCTTGATCTAACAAGGGGGAAAAATAGAAAAGGCATAACTACAGAAATACATGGTTTGTGAGACAAAAACAGCAACTCGTACATACGCATAAAGGATTAGATGACTTACAGGGATCCTAGTATCAATTTTCACAACTCCATCTTTTCCGGTTGTCTTTAATCTCAATGTCCGGAACTGGATGTCAGAAAAATGCACCCTTGGACCATCGACGGCATAATTGCCGTTAATATTCGGGATTTTTGTTTTGACTGTGGTATATCCAGTAGTAAGAGTTAGTCACTTAGAGAACAATAAATCTACATTGGGTTTAAAATCTGTCTGTTAAGAGCCCAGATATACATGGTTGTTCAGAGAGGAAGATCATCCAAGCAAAACAAGGAATTCCAAGACTTGTCTGAGAAATCCATGAAAAACTACTTTTTCTCGATTGAACCATTAATTAGCTAATTTAAAATATATATTCAGACTTCAGTTGTAACTGATTAACTTGCATCATAGAGAAGGGAATTGGACTGGTTAATGACATGTCAGTGTTTGAGAATTCCCTTAACTGATTATCTTTTTGGGTACAAAGGGTAAGAGGTCTCCCACTTACCTATCTGAGAAGGCGGCTGACTGGTGCCGGTCGAATACCTCTTCTCTTCTTCGTAATAACTGTTGAAACCTAATATTTCATTAATCTCCTCGAAAGATGGCATGGTTCCAGGAGAGGTATCACCACTTCTAATAGCATTGAGTGCCTTCTGCAGTTGGATAATTGAAGTTAGCTTTAAAAATTCAAAATCCAAGCTGACAAAATCACAAGATAGTACAGGACAATGGGTGTCTATTTCCTTCCCCTAGATAAAATCAATTTTCACCAGATAATTAGTAAACATTAAAAAAAAAAAAAAGGAATTATTTTCCTACATGCATGTGAAATGCTAGACTACTTTCCAACTCTTATTTTGCACTTGCAGTGAACCTGATAGGCCACCGGTGCACTTTACTTACGTAAGGAGAAATAAAAGACAGGGGTAGAATGGGGATTCTGCGGGAGTTGTCTATTGTAAAATAAGGGGATATATAGGAGGGGGAAACAGAGGGAAGTTAGATAGAGAATTGTTTGGTGAGAAGTTGGAGAGTTCAGGTCTCTTGAAAACCTGAGTGTGGGAATCGTGTCCGGAAAGATTCTTGTCTCAATCTTCTGATAGCTGTTTCAATTCAATAATTCGTGCTTAATAACATTTCTACTTACCATTCTGTATCAATTATGTATCAAATTGGTATCAGAGCGTCGATCTTGCGTCATATGTGATGGCGGCCAGGAAATTGGAGGAAAGACTGGGTACCGTGGAAGAACAGTTGAGTTCTGTTTGGGAGGAAATTGCGAAGGAGATGGAAGAAGTTAAGGATAATTTGCAGAAGATTCCTGCATTGGAGAAGAACGTGGCATTGATTTTGGGAAAATTGGACCCGTTGTTGCAGAAACAAGGAGGAGAGGATTCGGAATATAGGGAGGCTAGGGCTGAGAATGGGAGCGGAGGCGGACTGGCGTATGAGCACCGGGAAGGAGAATTCCGGTTGGGAGGGATGACGAGGCGAATCGAAATGCCGATTTTTGAAGGCACAAATCCAGATGGCTGGATTTTCCGTGCTGAGCGATTTTTTGCCCTAAATCGCATGAGAGAAAAGGAGAAATTGGAGGCGGCAGCCATAAGTCTCGATGGCAAAGCTCTGGCTTGGTTTCAGTGGATGGACGGACGCCGGCCTATACGCGACTGGTTAGAATTCAAGAAGTTGTTGCTCAACCGTTTCCGACCGTCAGAGGAGGGGTCGAACTGTGAGAAGTTCCTTAATTTTACATAACACTGCAAACTCTTACTTCCATATAGACAGTTTGCTTTGTTTCATTATTAACATCTGTCTTGAGTTCTCCTTGTGACTCTTACGAAGAGCGAGTCAAGTAGGATGTCTCACTTTACCCCGCCTACAACTTGTGATCTACGGTCCCTAAACTTCATTTTCTTTTTTCCAGTTTGCACCTGTATTCTCATTTTGTCATTTTTCATTTTTATGGGATTCTTGATCTTCTATCAATTATTCTATCGGAACTCATCAGCTTCCGGCAATTTTTTGGACAGAATCGGATGGAAGATGCAAACCGAGATAAATTTTTAACTTCATGTAGTATGGATAACGAAAAATTGAAATTCAGGGTCAAATGAGAACACCTGATTCTGCGACATAATCAAGATTTATGCTATTAATAATCATGACAATAATATCATAACCATATAACAACAAAATTTTAGACAGTTAAAAACGCAATTATAACTGTTATCAAACCAACATAAACATTAGAACCATAGACAGTAGACAATGAGAACAACAATAATAAGTATCGTAAGGAATTATATTTATAATCACAACATTAATACTAATTTTATCTGCTTACACTTTCAAGAAGAACAAAAAGTTGCAAAAATAAACTAAAACAAAAGAAAGAAAGAAAGAACCGTGAAATAAAATCAAGAACTGAAGCTGGTTGAAGGCACATCACCAAGGCACAACAGAGTTGTCCGTGGAGCTTTCTTCACTAGATTCAACTCGAACATACTCGTCAAGACAGGGACGAGATCCAATTTTAGAGGTGTAACGATTTTTAAAATCTTTTTTTCTTTGAAATTTTGGTCTATAGATGAATTTTTATAATAAAGATAATTTTATCTTTTGTATCATAAAAGATAGCTCTAAGATACTAAAAAAAAATTTCTAAAAATATCAAGATATCGGCTGAAATTTTAAAAAACAGAGAGTATTAAATTTAAATTTTAATATAACAAAAGGTATCAAAATGAAAATTTTCTAATATCATTAATTTTTTATATATAAAATATTGGATTGAACCCGCCAAAAATTCCTAATCCACCCAAAGCGCGGTATATATTAGATGTGATTTTAACGGTGATATACCAAACCATGAAAAGCTCCCGTAAAACTTTTTTACTTTTTTTAAAAGAATTTTTTTCTTTGATAAAACACATGATCCCAATATTAATTAGTGGAAAAAGATTTACAAATATTATTCTGTTTTTTTTCAAAATGTTAATATTGTTTTTTTTTTTTATGGTTCAATAATTCCTATTGTAGCAATCCGACCAAAACGAGCATTTTGGTTGAAATGCTCTTTTGGGCCTTTTTTATTTCTATATTTTTCTCTTTCCATCTTTTCTTTTCTTTTTTTTTTTATTTACTTCTCTTCCCTCAAATTTTATTTTTTTCATTCTTGCTCTTCTTTTTAACTTTTTTTCTCTTATTTACCCCTTAAAAATGTATTCCCTTTTTTTTTTTTTGGTGACAGAAATACCACACATCTGAAGATATCAAGGAACCAGGAAAAATATTCTTAAAAAAAAAAAAAAAAAGAAAGCCCGCAAAAAAGTCAACAAGTAACGGATCCGGAGAAAGCTTACACAAGCAAAACCTTTTAAGGAAATGAGAGCACTAAGATCCCAATTCAAAATATAAAGGACCATTTGCTATGCCAATTACAAAACTAACTATCTGTATGAGAGCGCTAAGATCCCAATTCAAAATATAAAGGATCATTTGCTATGTCAATTACAAAACCAACTATCTGTATGAGAGCGCTAAGATCCCAATTCAAAATATAAAGGGCCATTTGCCATGCCAATTACAAAACCAACTATCTGTATGAGAGCGCTAAGATCCCAATTTAAAATATAAAGGGTCATTTGCGATGCCAATTACAAAACCAACTATCTGTATGAGAGCGCTAAGATCCCAATTCAAAATATAAAGGGTCATTTGCTATGCCAATTACAAAACCAACTATCTGTATGAGAGCGCTAAGATCCAAATTCAAAATATAAATGGCCATTTGCCATGCCAATTACAAAACCAACTATCTATATGAGAGCGCTAAGATCCTAATTCAAAATATAAAGGGTCATTTGCGATGCCAATTACAAAACCAACTATCTATATGAGAGCGCTAAGATCCCAATTCAAAATATAAAGGGCCATTTGCCATGCCAATTACAAAACCAACTATCTATATGAGAGCGCTAAGATCCCAATTCAAAATATAAAGGGTCATTTGCCATGCCAATTACAAAACCAACTATCTGTATGAGAGCGCTAAGATCCTAATTCAAAATATAAAGGGTCATTTGCCATGCCAATTACAAAACCAACTATCTGTATGAGAGCGCTAAGATCCTAATTCAAAATATAAAGGGTCATTTGCCATGCCAATTACAAAACCAACTATCTGTATGAGAGCGCTAAGATCCTAATTCAAAATATAAAGGGTCATTTGCCATGCCAATTACAAAACCAACTATCTGTATGAGAGCGCTAAGATCCTAATTCAAAATATAAAGGGTCATTTGCCATGCCAATTACAAAACCAACTATCTGTATGAGAGCGCTAAGATCCCAATTCAAAATATAAAGGGCCATTTGCCATGCCAATTACAAAACCAACTATCTGTACACCTAACTTGCCCATGGTTGCATAGTTTAGCTCCTAACCTGAAACAAGCTCCTCCGTTTAGAGTAATGCTAATATTGTGAAGCAGTGCATTAGCTTCTGTTTCAATAGATACCAGGTGAAGATTAGTGAAAGTGAGCCCAAATTACTATCCGTTGATAAAAAAATTGTTACAGTACCACCATAGAGGCGCGGTGAACCAGATAGGGCCAAAGATGTCTCGATGACCCCGAAAGCAGAAATGAATATTCTTTCTATTTCCAAGCCTGAAAATGCCCCAATGTTTCCTGCCAGAATTATTGAAACCGAGACAAGCCGACATTCCTTTAAGATGACTGTAATGCCACTCATTCCCCGAAGGATCAGCCTTGTCATTGGAGAAATAGATACAATTGCTCATCTCGACCCCGAGTTCCACTGCAGAGAACGATCTTGAACTGCATTTACCTAAAAATAATATTCGATCCCCCAAACTCTCAACCCTTTTCCAGGACATTTGGCCAATATCCAGTTCATAAACTTTGAAATTCCGCGTTTCAAGTAGAGTACTAAAATGCCTGCAGATAAGCAAAATCTTGCCGCAAGACTCCACAAGATACCTCAATACAGCATCGTTTGCATGGTTCTCTGACTCCGGCATGATTACTTCATGGAATTCAGTCTTGATCTCAGATTCAAAAGTAACAACAGAGTCATCCTTGCTAAGAGCGGCAGAAACACTAGCTGCATCAATTTGGACAATGCCGTTATCCTTGCTCAAAAGATAGAAGCTTCCATTCCAAAAGACAGCATCCTCAAATGGCCGCTCTCCAACGACTTTATATTGATTCCATGATTGAGCTCCTGGGACCCAAAAGGCAAGCTCTTGGTACTTACTGTGTACAAGCATGCACACACAGTTTTCTAGAGAGGGACGCGCCGAGAGGACCATATTATGGTAGAAGTCCCATGTTCTAGGAAGGTTGATTGTGCTTCTGGTGAACGGATTAAACAAGCTTATATTCAGAGAATAACGTTTTATATCATCCGCACATCCTACATCATCCACTAGAATAAACCAATCTTGATATGATCCCCAACAATATTTTCCACGAGCCTCGGGTATCTCCATCTCCCAAGCTCGCTTCTCTAGCATGCTAATACAAAGTCTCTTATCTCTATCTTTCTGACCAGACATGAAAAGTGAAGGGAAGCCAAGCCCTTCCCAACAAGAAAGCTCCCGCGAGAAAACATTTCTCCAAGGCTTGCAAACATTGCTAACTGAGATACAATCAAAAAGAGATAGTCGCTCGAAAATGATCTCCAGGATACCCTTAGGGAGCCCAGCCCAATCAACACTAACTACCTCCCCACCATTCTCCTCATTAAGCTGTCTCCGCTTCTTTTGCTTACGCTTTCTTTTCCTTCTAGCTGCCATCTTTCAATTCGTATTTCTGTTTTTCCTACAAAACAAGTCCATTTCCCTAAGCCTCGCTCTCCATGAAACGAAAAACTAAAACAGCACAATAAAACTCCTAATGGGAGAACAGATATCAAGCAAAATAGTTAAGCAATGTATTCACGACTTTTGCGGAACAAGGTAATGTGAAGGGAAATAATCACAACTCACAATTCTGTATACGATCAAATGAAGAAAATCATTATTATAAAATTCATATAGTATTGTCCAAATCATACCAAATGTTCATGTCACTTACCGACCTTTTCGTTACATACCCCTATATAGCAATGAAAGCAAACACCTTTGGTAATGATATCAGCTAAAGCTAAAAGGCTAACATTGACGCGTGATTAGAAAATAAAGAGAGCAAATCTTTCGGTTGTTTAAAACGGAGGCTGAAGAAAAAAGAGCTTTAAGGTTCTTGACATAAAAGGGATCACGAAAAATCTCAAAAAGCATCTTGGCCTTTTGTTTTTCCAATATTTAGAGTAAAATTTTACCATGCTTAAGTGCAAGAAATTTGAATTTGAACACAAACCCAAAACTCTATGCATGATATTTACAAGAGATTTCATCGGAAAAGCGATGAAAGAAAGAAAACTGAAATACCCTTTACAGTAATTTCATCAACGGGTGATTGGACCTCCTTAAGAAGGCCATAAAGCGATTAGAAAGTACCAATACCAGAAAACCCAAATCATTCATAACACAGAATAGAGACATTCCTGTTACAAATAACGAAGAGACTAAAAGGTTTAGATAGGAAGCAAGCTAAAATAAACCAAATTTGATACCTGAGTATTCGGTTTGATACCCTGCTACTAGTTCTTCTTCTGCTTCTGGTAAATCAAAGAGTAATCTTTCTAGTTGCTTAGAAATGAAATGTTCCAAATGTTCCGGTAAATTCTTGAAAAAAGGCAAGCAGCAGCTATTGAACCGACCGAGAATCTGAAACGAGAGAGGGAGAGAGAGAGAACGGAAAAAATCAATAAAAAAAAAAAGCAGCTATTGAACCGTCGGAGATAGAATGGAAAAAAAAAAAAAAAAAAAAAAAAAAAAAAAGAGCAGCGACTGAACCGTCGGAGAAAAAAAAAAAAGCAGCTATTGAACCGTCGTAGAGAGAAAAAGAGAATAAAACAAATAAAAAATAAAAACAGGGGTGAAGAGACAGCGTACAGCGACTCCAGTCAGTCAGAAACGTAATAGAGAAGGAAAAAGAAACTGCTCTTGCTCTTGGCGGGAGAGACAACAAAGGAGGTACTAAAAACAGGTGTACGTAGTTAGAGTAATCTCATTAATTTTACTAATTTAAATTTTTAATTCTAATTTTATTATAGTTAAAAATTCTCATAAAAAATCATATTTAATTTTTTTATTACAGTTAGAAACTTTCATGTAAAATCACATCTTAACTCGAATTGAAAACTTAAATTGATGAACTGAACGAGACCTAAATATATTTAGTAGATGATAATTTAACTTTTTTTTAAATTTACTAAAACATCTTTTAAACTTTTAAAGCCTTTTTTGCTATAGTTAAAAGTTATCACAAAAAATTATATTTAATTTTTCTGTTACAGTGAAAAATTCTCACATAAAATTATATTTCAACTTGAATCCGTAAACTGAACGATACCTAAAATAGATGTAATTAACACCTTCTAATTATCTAAGATAATTTTCAAAAAAAAAAAACAAGAAATAAAAGAAAAAAAGAAGAGGGGCCAAAAGATTAAAAAGGCGAGGACTTAAAAATAAAAGAAATTTTCAACCAAAAACACAACTGTTTTGGTTAAAAGGGAGAAAGCAATGGGTGCGTTTGGAATTGGTTCCAAAACGTTTTTATTTTCTGTACGAAAATGAAAATGAAAACGTTTTTAGTTTCATTTTTGAATTATTTCTAAAAATGCGTTTGGTAGTTTTATTTAGAGATTGATTTCAGTTTTAAAAAAAACTGAAACTGCGTTTGGTGGTTTAATTTTTGAAAACATGTAATAATATATTAAATAATAATATATTAAATAAATATTAAATAAATAATAAATAATATTATTAAATATATTATATAAATAATATTATTAAATATATTAAATAAAAATATATTAAATAAATATATTAAATAAACATATATAATACAAAAACAGTTTCGGAAAAGAGGGAAGAAAATGAAAAAGAAAAAAAAAAGTGAAATCCGTTTTTCAGAAAACAGAAAACGAAAACGAGAAAATGAAAACACATTTTTTTTGTTTTCTGATTTCCACAAAAAGACAAAAACGTTTTTGGTTTTGTTTTTTAAAAAAAATTGCACCAAACACGTTTTTAACACCCGTTTTCATTTTTTTGCTTTGAAAACCGTGAAAAACGAAAATGAAAATGCAAACAAACAGGCCCAATAAAACATATACTACGCATGTGCGTATTCAAATTGTTTTTTTTTTTTTCTTTTTCGGTAAATGAATGTAAATTTTTTTTAAGAGTTTGATTCAACAAAAAAGGTAGAACACGTCTTTAAAATAGTAGTGATTATAGGTACCGATTAATTCCGCACATGACTTTATTATAAAGTGTAAAATTTTAAACCCCTACATCACATAAAAAAAAAAGAAGAGAAATAATTTTAATAGGGCTATACGAGAAAATATGTTTAAACAGAAACACATTTAAGAATAAATTACTTTAGCAACAAAATTATAGAGGAAATTCATTAGTGCCACGTGGGAAAAAATACCTTATAAGAAAACCACAAGAAAAAATATGTGAGTAAGAGTACATTTGAGAAAATATATTTCAATAAAAGATAAATTAGAAAAGAAATTAAATAAGCCGTAGAGGAAAGCAAATCACGTCATAGTAAAGCTTTCTAAAAATAATTTTCGAAATGAGACATATTTAAAAACATATAAAATTAAAATCTTAAAAAGGAACCAAAATAAAAAAAAAATAGAGCAAAAATAAGAAAATGTCAAAAAGGACTAAAATGAAAAGATAAACAAGTTTTAAAGTAAAAGAAACCTAAATGCAAAAAAAAAAAGGGTTAAAGAAGAAATAAACAAATTTTAGGGCAAAAGGAATCAAAACAAAAAATGAAATAAAATTCCGGGCCAAAAAGAAACAAAAGGTAAAAAAAAATACCAAAATGAAGAAAGAAATAAGTTTCAGGGTGAGTAGAAAAAAAAAAGTTTTACGGTAAAAAGTAAAAAATAAAATAAAATAAAAAGACTTAGAAAGAACGAAGAGGGTCGAAACTAGTGCTGGAACTTTGGGTGGGCCGCCCGAAAAAATCGAGTTTTTGCCCGAGCCCGAGCCCGACCCGCCTGAAAAATTCGGGCCGCCCGCCCAAGCCCGAATTTCTCCTTGAACAGGCTGCGGGCTTGTGTTAGTCCGCTCGAGCCCGCCTGATTTGCCCGAATTTTTTTTAAATATTTTTTAATTTTTATAATTATTAAGTTAGTTTGTGTTAAAATTATGTAAAAATCAAAATCACATTCAATAGACATTATTAACACAATTGAATAAATTAATCATGTATATTATTGATGTATTAAATTCGTAATTCATTATTGCCTCGTTAAAAACCTTACCAAGAAAAACCCAATTGGGATAGAAACTTGGCAAGGAAAAAAGAGTGCAATCATTTTGTGACGAATTACAAATTTGACAAACTTACAAAGTTATACAATTACAAATACAATGTCAAAAGTAAATACATATTTACAAATTACAAATTTACAATTTAATTTGAAACTGAAGGATCGTCTTCAAAATTAAATGTTAATCGATTAAATTCATCAATCCATTCTTGGCTTGCCGGTGAAATTGTATCCTGTTGACGTTGATCAGCCCAATCCCAATCCTTAATGCAAAGCAAGGCTTCAACAATATCCCTTTGCAATGCATTCCGGCGTTCCTCAAGTATTCTTCCTGTCGTACTGAAGGCTTGTTCGGATGAAATAGTGGAGACTTGGATCGAAAATATATCCATTGCCAATCGAGTTAGGATTGGCCAAGTTAATGCCCATGCCCGACACCATTGAACTAAGTCAAACGATTCTGCC